AAACAAAAACTAAGCAACATAAAGTGATGTGATTGTTGTTAAAATTTGTACATGTTTCCACAGGATATGTTCCCAAGCCGTACATCAGCCTCGGCTGTTGGAGGGACTCAGGAAATCGCGCCATCCCTACTCTGGAGGGGAAAGACGCAAAGTTAGACGGCAGCTATACCGCACGTACCCTCGCCATTAGCAAGTGCTACCAGGTGGCCAAGTCAAAAGGCTTCCGTATCTTTGCGGTCCAAAATGGCGGCTGGTGTGCCGGGTCTGCTGACGCCTGGAGAAGCTACTCGAAGTACGGGCCCTATACAACCTGCCAGAAGGACGGGGAAGGGGGGGCCTGGGGAAATGAGGTCTATCTCATCTCAGGTAATCTCTTTTCTACCTGGAGCTGAATCGTACCTATTATTGCTATTACATTTATGAATATGATTGTCGTTAATATTCATTGCTATAACACAATGTTGTTGTTTTTTTCAGATGTGGTCGCTTCAAACAAAAACGGTAAGTAGGCCCATTTGCATGTATTGTAGAACATCAAAATAGAAATCACAGATACGTTACGTATTCCTCTGATATGGTATAACATTTTCTACCTGTCGTTTTCAAATGAAGTCTAAACTGTTTGGGGGAATACACGTGACGCCTGCCCGATTAAGATTTAATTTATTTGTGAAAAAAAAAACATATAAATTCACCCCATTCTGTTATGGTAAATGACAACTACCTCTCTTTTTGATTTTCATCAACCAGAAAAATGTCAGGTGGAAAATGGGGTAAGCTACCGAGGAACCGTTTCTGTGACCACATCAGGCAAGACGTGTCAGAACTGGAACAGTCAGACGCCACACAAGCACACCAAGACACCTGATAGTTACCCAACATCTGGTCTGGAGAACAACAACTACTGCCGGAATCCCGACGGCAAAGACGGAGTTTGGTGCTACACCACAGATGCCGGCACGGAATGGGAGAAGTGTAACGTACCAGTATGTGGTAAGTTCTGCGTCAAAGTGTCCATTGCCACAAAACTCAAGCTCTCTTTCTATTTTCTATTCTGTCTTCAATTCTTTATCTGCAATCTGAATAGATGGTATGTTAACAACTGCTGAGGCTACATGGCATGTACTATAGAAAGTGGTGCATTTAAGGTAATACTAAAAACTAATCTGTTTCTCTTCCCTACAGCCGGTCCGAAGTACATCAGTCTGGGCTGTTGGAAAGACAGCACCAACCGAGCCATCGCCGAACTAGAGGGGACAGACGAACGGCTAGACGGATCTTACAGCGCCCGTGCTGATGCCATCGAGAAGTGCTACCAGGTTCTCTGATCTTTGTTCCATTCAGTATAAGCAAACATGTCTCCTAATGAGGTTTTTCCGTGTGTACTGGTTGACCTTGAGGCCCGGGCGACCAAGTCATGTCGGTCATATACAGGTGACCTGTGTTACTCAATCTCTCGTCGTCAGGGTCTAATTTGACCTCCTTACTGAGAGTTTGTGGACACAAGGGGCTCAATGTTATTTGACAATTCACATTTCCAGAACCACAAATGAAATCACAGGATCTCTTTGAAAAGTAGTATAATTTTTAGCGTAGAATTCCATGCTACTATTAAAACCAGTCAGTACAGCTTGTTATTCAACACAAATAAAAAAAAAATTGTATGTCTGTCAAATAATCGTTCAATTTTAGAAAAGCAATGAGTTGTGTTTAAATTCACATGTAATGTGGAAACCGTGTCTTTATTAGGTGGCCAAGTCTCGCGGGTTCTACATCTTCGCGGTCCAAAATGGCGGCCAGTGTTTTGGCTCTGCTACTGCTCTGACCACCTACCGGAAGCACGGGCCCTCGGCGGGATGTCAGAAAGACGGAGAAGGAGGAGGCTGGGCGAACGAAGTCTACCTCATAACAGGTGAGGTGCAACATCCATTGAAATTAGATTACTATCTTCCAACAGAAAGACCATCAAAGTTAAGACTTCCTCCCAGTATTCACATTACTGATTGTTTTGTAAACCTTTCGCTCCTGTTGATAAATTGAAGCGCTGAGGATTCATCTCTTAGCTGTTTGTAAGCTTAGGAGTAATAAGAGACAGACACGCTCGCGAATGAAAACACAAATTAGTTATAACTACCAGAAGCAGTTTTGGCTCCGCGCTATAAAACTAGAGGTAAAATATTTTGATTACAGCATTTTGACACAGAAAAAATTACATCAATGGTACAAGGTAAAGCCTACTACTATAAGAATACATTCAAGCTATGAATAAACATTCTAATCTTTCTTGCATTTCTTCCAGGCGCCACCAAAACATTGCCTGTTGGTAAGTAATTTTACATTCTTTTTGTAATGCACGATTAACTTTTTTTCGATGGAACTATCTTGTATTCAACACACAAAATACCAATGCCAGACTCACCTGAACCAAACATCTGACATTAAACATCAAATTGTGGAATTTTGATTGTATTTCCACAGGATATGTTCACAAGCCGTACTTCAGTATCGGCTGTTGGAGGGACACAGCAAATCGCGCCATTCCTACTCTGGAGGGGACAGACGATCGGTTAGACGGCAGCTACACCGCACGCGCCGACGCCATCGACAAGTGCTACCAGGTGGCCAAGTCAAAAGGCTTCCGTATCTTTGCGGTCCAAAATGGCGGCTGGTGTGCCGGGTCGGCTACCTTCGCCCACAGTACCCACAAGAAGTACGGGCCCTATACAACCTGCCAAGCCGACGGGGAAGGGGGAGCCTGGGGAAATGAGGTTTATCTTGTCTCAGGTATGTGCTTTAAACTAGACGTGTCATTTTGTTATAGTAACATATAGTGCAAGTATATCTTAAAGTACGTAAAGTAAATATATTTTATTTCAATTTTTAATTTTTAAACTTTATTCAATAGGAAAGTCATTTCCATTGTATTATGTCAATTGTGTACAACATTTTAATGGTTATAATATTGTTATTGTGTTTTTCAGATGTTTTCAACCCAAACCAGAAAAGTGAGTAGGCCAACTGTCAGCTTTTGTTACTACTAAATGTTTATCACATACTAAGAAAGCGTGACTTGCCTGTCTAGAATACCCCAATAAGAAACAAAGTTCATTTTTCTCTCCCTGCAAAAATCAATCAAAAGTCCCGCACGTTTTGGAACAATGTATGTAATACATACCTAATTGAGATTGTCGAAAAAAAAAAAGAAACCTAAACCATAAAATCAAAATCGAGATTTTACCCACTCGAGACTGTCAATGTTCACGAGAAGAATTCTCGCTGCGCGCCATAACCTATAGTCCGGCACCTTGTATACTCCACGGCTGTCTACTAAAGAAAGGACAAAAACATTGGTAACGTAAACATTTGTTGTTTACATTTTACTATAGAAGTACTCGTGTCTAGAAAATGAATCCGTTTTGATGTCGATACTTTGTCAACTGGAAGAACTAAAAAAAACTTTCCTCACAGGTGGAGAGGTTGCGAAAGTGCAAGGTCCGAGATACTTCAGTCTGGGCTGTTGGAAAGACACCAGCGACCGAGCCATCACCATGTTAGAGAAGACAGACGAACGGCTAGACGGAGCTTACGCCTCCCGTGCTAACGCCATAGAAAAGTGCTACCAGGTTCACTGAATTTTGCTGCATTACGTAATACTATAAAGACCATGTCTTCTACTGACCATTTTCAGTGTTTCTCCTAGAATGTGACTACAAAAGTACCAAAAGTCGCATACAAGAGAACGAGGGATTTTATTGAATGATCTTTACTACAAATTAACTATCCAAAATTTATACATCTGGAATCAAAGTATCTCTGTACAGCATTAGTGGAAAAGTGACATATATAACGAAGTCGTATATCAAATGCAACTGTCATGAGGTAACCCTGTCCATATAGGTGGCCAAGTCTCGTGGGTTTTTCATCTTTGCGGTCCAAAATGGCGGCGAGTGTTTTGGCTCTGCTACTGCCCTGAGCACCTACCGGAAGCACGGACCCTCGTCGGGATGTAAGTCAGATGGAGAAGGAGGAGCCTGGGCGAACGAAGTCTACTTCATAACAGGTAAGGAGGAACAAGGACATTATACACTCTGTATAATGTCCTTGGGATGAACATGCATTTGAACACAAAGAGCACAACAGCACAACTGCAGTAATGTTTGCAGGCGACCAGAACTCGCGTTTGGCAGGAATTCTGATGATTTTAGATATCGTAAAATAAGAATGTCAAAGGTAAAAACCTCCCATATCCACATTGCTTTCTGCCTTTAGAAATCACTGAGTTTTTACAATGGTTATGCTGCTTGTTGCATTTGGACACATACAAAGACGTAGGAAGACCCAGATACATATTGAGTATTTAACATAATATTTTGGGTAAAATGAAAAGTAGATTATAACTATTTGCAAGAGTTGCACCGTCAGACTTACCTGAGTGCAACGTATTTGCCTAGCAGCGTTTGTACTTTTAGGGAACATTATGTATAGAATAAGGTTTCCGTATACAAATAGATATGTCTTATTAACATTTCTCTTATTTCTTTCAGGAGTCTCTATAACTTTACCTTCAGGTACGTCACTTTACTATATGGTATGTCTGATGTCTGAAAGACGATTTCAGGTTGATGTTCCAGTAACTGTAATCTTAGAAAAATCCTGAATCTAGCATAAAATATACCATTTCTGACTTCAAGTGTAAAAAGACAAAGCTGTATTCTTTATTCTTTTTAATTAAAACAGTGGTCAGCCTAGCAGCAGCACATAACAAATTATAGACCGCTGAATTGTGCTGACCTTACGTAATATTACATAAAAATACAACGTGGGTACAAACAAAACATACAGATTCACGACAATGACAATATATACAACACATTAAAACCAATGCTGCATTTGACTGTTGTAAAATCTGATAGTGTGATGCAGAATTTTATTCTGCAGTCTGGATTTTCTTGCCATGGGAACCCTGAGTCCTCCCGCGTTCCTTAAGGACCTCCCCGTGCTCATCAACCCCTCCACCAAGTCATGGAGGGGATGGTCTGCGTTCAGCATGGCTTTGAGCAGCTTCATGGCTGCCAGCTAATGTCTGATGCCACACATTTAATTATTGTTGAACTTTTGATTTATCAAAAGGATATGTTCCCAAGCCGTACATCAGCCTCGGCTGTTGGAGGGACTCAGGAAATCGCGCTATCCCTACTCTGGAGGGGAAAGACGCAAAGTTAGACGGCAGCTATACCGCACGTACCCTCGCCATTAACAAGTGCTACCAGGTGGCCAAGTCAAAAGGCTTCCGTATCTTTGCGGTCCAGAATGGCGGCTGGTGTGCCGGGTCTGCTGACGCCTGGAGAAGCTACTCGAAGTACGGACCCTATACAACCTGCCAGAAGGACGGGGAAGGGGGAGCCTGGGGAAATGAGGTCTATCTCATCTCAGGTATCGTGTCATTAACCTTTTTACCTGATTCTGTACCGTGGCAATTTTCTTCAAGTTTGGTCTCTTTCTTATATTATAAAGCAATCCCAGATAAGTTTTGAAGAAGACGACATTGTAATCAATCTTTATTATTCAATTTTGATATAAATCTCTAAAACGATCATAATAATAACTTTGTTTTGTGTCTTTCAGATGTTTTTAGCGCAAGCGAAGGTTAGTATGCCGATTATCAGTCCCTTTTTAATACATCACTTCGAATACATAAAAGCACTCCTCTAAAATTGCATTTCTGTTCATGTAAAAAAACATTCATTTTAGGAACATACCTATATAATGCATGGTGTGTTACGGTTGTATTAAAGATTGGAGCAATTAATAAAAACAGCTAAACATCTCCCCCTCCCCAATCCTGTCATGGTAATGAACGACAACGACCTCTTTTATGTATTTTTTATATTACCAGAAAAATGCCAGGTGGAAAATGGGGTAAGCTACCGAGGAACCGTTTCTGTGACCACATCAGGCAAGACGTGTCAGAACTGGAACAGTCAGACGCCACACAAGCACACCAAGACACCTGATAGTTACCCAACATCTGGTCTGGAGAACAACAACTACTGCCGGAATCCCGACGGCAAAGACGGAGTTTGGTGCTACACCACGGATGCCGGCACGGAATGGGAGAAGTGTGACGTACCAGTATGTGGTAAGTTCTGCGTCAAAGTGCCCAGTGCCACTAACTCGGGCCTTCTTTCTCCTCTCTAGTCTGTCTTCTATTCTTTATCTGCATTCTGAATAGATGGTATGTTTACAACTGCTTGGGTTACATGGAATGAACTAAAGGTAATACTAAAAACTAATCTGTTTCTCGTCCCTACAGCCGGTCCGAAGTACATCAGTCTGGGCTGTTGGAAAGACAGCACCAACCGAGCCATCACCATACTAGAGGGGACAGACGAACGGCTAGACGGGTCTTACACCGCCCGTGCTGACGCCATCGAGAAGTGCTACCAGGTTCTCTAAAGTTTGTTTTTAATTGGTAGAAGCAAACATATCTCCTAATGACGTTTTCCGTGTGTACTGGTTGACCTTGAGGCCCGGTTGACCAAGTCATGTCGGTCATATACAAGTAACCTGTGTTACTCAATCTCTCGTCGTCAGGGTCTGATTTGGCCTCCTTACTTGGAGTTTGTGGACACAGGGGGCTCTATGTTATTTGACCATTCACATTTACAGAACTACCAATGGCAGGTCAGGATATCTATGAAAATCAGTTAAATTTTTAGCGTACAAGTCCATGTTACTATTAAAACCAGTGAATAGAGATTGTCATTCAACACAACTAAAAATGTTGTATGTCTGACAATAATCGTTCAATTTTAGACAAGCAATGAGTTGTGTATGAATTCTCATGTAATGTGGAAACCGTGTCTTTATTAGGTGGCCAAATCTCGCGGGTTCTTCGTCTTTGCGGTCCAACATGGCGGCTGGTGTGCGGGCTCTGCTACTGCTCTGACCACCTACCGGAAGTACGGGCCCTCGGCGGGATGTCAGAAAGATGGAGAAGGAGGAGCCTGGGCGAACGAAGTCTACCTCATAACAGGTGAGGTGCAACATCTATTGAAATTAGATTAATATCTTCCAACAGAAAGACCATCAAAGTTAAGACTTCTTCCCAGTATTCACATTACTGATTGTTTTGTAACCCTTTCGCTCCTGTTGATAAATTGAAGCGCTGAGGATTCATCTCTTAGCTGTTGTAAGCGTAGGAGTAATAAGAGACATACACGCTCGCGAATGAAAACACAAATTAGTTACAACTACCAGAAGCAGTTTTGGGTCCACGCTACAAAACTAGAGGTAAAATATTTTGATTACATCATTTTGACACAGAAAAAATTACACCAATAGTATAAATTAAGCCTATTCCTATGAGAATACATCCAAGCTATGAATAAGCATTCTAATCTTTCTTGCATTTCTTCCAGGCGCCACCAAAACATTGCCTGTTGGTAAGTCATTTTACATTGTTTCTGTCTGTAATGCACGATTAACTTTTTTTCGATCGAAATTTCTTGTATTTAACACTCAAAATACCAATGCCAGACTCACCTGAACCAAACATCTGGCATTAAACATCAAATTGTGGAATTTTGATTGTATTTCCACAGGATATGTTCACAAGCCGTACTTCAGTATTGGCTGTTGGAGGGACACAGCAAATCGCGCCATCCCTACTCTGGAGGGGACAGACGATCGGTTAGACGGCAGCTATACCGCACGTGCCGAAGCCATCGACAAGTGCTACCAGGTGGCCAAGTCAAAAGGCTTCCGTATCTTTGCGGTCCAAAATGGCGGCTGGTGTGCCGGGTCGGCTACCTTCGCCCACAGTACCCACAAGAAGTACGGGCCCTATACAACCTGCCAAGCCGACGGGGAAGGGGGAGCCTGGGGAAATGAGGTCTATCTCATCTCAGGTATGTGCCTGGAACTACACGTGTCAATTTCTGATATGATAACTTATACCTGCAAGTATATCTCAAATTACGCAGAGAAAGAAAAGACATTTTAATTTATTAAACTTAGTTCATTTATTATTAAAATCATTTCTAGTGTACTATGTCAATTGTGTACAACATTTTAATGGTTATAATATTGTTATTGTGTTTTTCAGATGTTTTCAACCCAAACCAGAAAAGTGAGTAGGCCAACTGTCAGCTTTTGTTACTATTAAATGTTTACCACATATTAAGAAAACGTGACATGCCTGTCTAGAATACCCCAATAAGAAACAAAGTTTCTTTTTGTCTTCCTGAAAAAAATCAAATAAAAGTCTCGCACGTTTTAGAACAATGTATGTAATACATACCTAATTGTGATTGTCGAAAAAAAAGAAACCTAAACCATAAAATTAAAATCGTGATTTTACCCACTCGGAACTGTCAATGTTCACGAGAAGAATTCTCGCTACGCGCCATAACCTATGCTCCTGCACCCTGTGTACGCCACCTCTGTCTACTAAAGAAAGTACAAAAACATTAGTAACGTAAACATCTATTGTTTACATTACTATAGAAGTACTCGTATCTAGAAAATAAATCCATTTTGATGTCAATACTTTGTCAACTGGAAGAACTTAAAAAAACTTTACTCACAGGTGGAGAAGTTGCGAAAGTGCAAGGTCCGAGGTACTTCAGTCTGGGCTGTTGGAAAGACACCAGCGACCGAGCCATCGCGATGTTAGAGAAGACAGACGAACGGCTAGACGGGGCTTACGCCTCCCGTGCTAACGCCATCGAAAAGTGCTACCAGGTTCACTGAATTTTGCTTCATTACGTAATACTGTAAAGACCATGTCTTCTACTGATCATTTTCAGTGTTTCTCCTAGAATATGACTACAAAAGTACCAAAAGTCGCATACAAGAGAAAGGGATTTAATTGAATGATCTTTACTACAAATTAAGTATCCAAAATTCGTACATCTGGAATCGAATTATCTCTGTATAGTATTAGTGAAAAGGTTACATATATAACGAAGTCGTATATCAAATGCAACTGTCATGAGGTAA